ACATTATCTACACTGTAGAACAGTCTACATATGTATGTTGTTACATTATCTACACTGTAGAACAGTCTACCATCTGTATGTTGTTACATTATCTACACTGTAGAACAGTCTACCATCTGTATGTTGTTACATTATCTACACTGTAGAACAGTCTACCATCTGTATGTTGTTACATTATCTACACTGTAGAACAGTCTACCATCTGTATGTTGTTACATTATCTACACTGTAGAACAGTCTACCATCAGTATGGTATGTTGTTACATTATCTACACTGTAGAACAGTCTACCTTCTGTATGTTGTTACATTATCTACATTGTAAAACAGTCTACCATCAGTATGGTATGTTGTTACATTATCTACACTGTAGAACAGTCTACATATGTATGTTGTTACATTATCTACACTGTAGAACAGTCTACCATCTGTATGTTGTTACATTATCTACACTGTAGAACAGTCTACATATGTTTGTTGTTACATTATCTACACTGTAGAACAGTCTACCTTCTGTATGTTGTTGCATAATCTTCACTCTAGAAAAATTCAATCAAAACTTTTGTAGACACTGGATAACACGGAGACTTTTCTGTTGTTTTCTGCTAGCAACAAACAGAACCATACATTTCTTCCAATACAAATTGTATATTTTTTTCGTGATAAAATAGATAAAAAAGACAATAATGAACATGATACATTGTGCTTCTAAACATCTTGAGGCAGTTAACTATGATGTAAATTTATAGCACATAAGGCACTTCAATTAACATCAGTCATCAATACGGTGCAGAAGGACACCATTTACGGCAACAGTTGGTCGTGAAGCTGTTAGAGAACCAATAGACTGCAATGATTCATTAACAAGAATCAATACACCTTAAATAGCAGATAATCGTTTGGCTATGTTCTTACATCTTATATCTTACTTCCCTTAAAGGTAAATTTGTATCTCCTTTCCGGAAGATTTCTCCTCTAAGAAATAAGATCCAATTCATTAGTGGTTTATTTAAATAAAAAAAAGTTATTTATCATGCATTAATGTAAATGTGTGAAAGAATTAAAACCTTTTAGGAAGGATATGTACATGGTGATCTAATAAAGTCATATGTAAATATGTACATACACTCTGAACTAAAATATACACACTTTACCCAAAGCTATCGGTGTTAAAATAGAACACAAAATTCAATTTGGTAAAAAAAAACTTATATGTATAAGTGATGGGAAACGGTTTCATTTTTATAACTATCAATTTAAAACACATTATAGATCTGTTATTGATGATAGTTAGTTTCATGCACTAATTAACTGCAAAACAGTTTAAATTGCAATGAAAATACTGTAAGATTTTAAGGATCGTTTTTAAGAAATTTTGAATCATACTGTCTTGGTATTTTCTTCAGTTTAAATACTTTGAAGTCTGCTAGTTATAACGTACCTCTAAGCTTACAAAATTATGACAGGAGCTACACTTGATCTCACTAATTCTTAGATTCTGAGTCATTCCGGAGCCCTACCAATCCATCATCTTTTAATTGGTGTAATTTCTTCTATTGTTTCCTTTTTTATCTTGATTATCATCCCATCATTAAGATATCTTTCACACTGTATTATGGTCCAAAATTGATTCTGGAGTACTAATGACTTGGAGTTGATAAACTGCTATATAAAAATCAGACATATCTAATCCAGATCTTTTAATATCTGAATAAAGATTTATGAATTGGACACAAGCAGACTTACATTAACATTGTGTATGATGTCATTTTTAATGTTTTATCTGTCAAGTAAACACCGTACTCTAAATTTCAATATTTCCTTTGTTTTCTTTACTTTGTTAATGTAAATTTCTGCCTTGCTAATCTTTACTTTTCATATAATACTGTCTAAATCATACATCTGTTAAAACTTAATATCAATCTAGAAGCAATCAAAACAGAAATCAGGTTTCAAAATTAAAATCTCAAAGGAAACCTAAACTGAACTTGTATCTTTATTGAATTACAACTAGATTATAACTGTATATTAGTTACCCTATGTGGAATATGATGAAGATTTCTGAGTGTCTGGTTTAACTGATATAAAGTTCTCTGTGGTGATTAACTTTATCCATGTAAACAGCTGTTACAATAGATTGACAGGCAGCCAAAGGCAGAATCTGATATTAGTAAAACCTGGTAAATCCCAGGGATGTTTACCTTCTATTTAACGAGATATGTATCTACATAAATGAAACAGCCCAGAGCACGACTGACTTTGATTTCTAACTTGGTCAATGAAAGGATACAAATGTTTATACATTATATCATTTCAATAATATCATAAATCAATCAACCAGTACAGGTCTTCCTCTACACAGCAGTAAACATGTATATTGCTGTTGATCTTTTTTCTACCATCCGTGTAATCTTCCAAATCTCAAATATTAAATACTTGATTGATTATATACCTGTCCTAAAAGTCCTTTTATCTATATAGTATTAATTCCAGACATGTAGTCCCCCTATTTCATAAATCATTCATTTCACCTCGACATCAGGTGGTAGCTTGTCTTGTCTATGACCTGGATGTTTGATTCAAAACCTTATAGAGCATATCATGATCCCAACGTCTGGTCCACCTAGATTACGATTACATATATAGGACACGTGAATTTGACCCAGATATCTAACTCCCTTTTCTTATGTAATATTTCAACCAGATGGCTGGTTCCCTAATCTTCAATAATTTACCCAGACATCTGGTTTCATCATATTCAATATTTGCCCTTGCCCTCTGGTTCCCTCACCATATATCACATTTGACCCAGGTGTCCGGTCCCTTATTTTGTGTATCATTTGACCAAGACATGCAGTTCTCAATCTCAAATATTTGTCCCAGATGTCTGGTTCCCCTATCTTCTCTAGCATTTGATCAAGACATCTAGTCCTTTATCTTACATACCTTTAGATCTGATCATCTGGTTTCCTCATCTTATATTGCATTTGACCCAGATACCTGGATCCCCATCTTATTTCATGTTTAACCTTGACATCTGGTTCGTACACCTTACACAATTAAAGACTTTTACCCAGTCTGGTTCCCCTGTCTTATATAACATTTGACCCAGATGTCAAGATCTCATATCTTATATAACATTTGACCCAAATGTCTAGGTCTCATATCTTATAAAACATTTGACCCAGATGTCTAGATCACATACCTTATATAACATTTGACCCAGATGTCTAGATCTCAAATCTTAGATAACATTTGACCCAAATATCTATGTCTCATATCTTAGATAACATTTGACCCAGATGTCTAGATATCATATCTTATATAGCATTTGACCCAGAGATCTGGTTTCCCTCTTATAAAACATTTGACCCACATGTCTAGATCTCATATCTTATATAACATTTGACCCAGAGATCTGGTTTCCCTCTTATAAAACATTTGACCCAGATGTCAAGATCTCATATCTTATATAACATCTGACCCAGATGTCTAGATCTCATATCTTATATAACATCTGACCCAGATGTCTAGATCTCATATCTTATATAAAATCTGACCCAGATATCTAGATCTCATATCTTATATAACATTTGACCCAGATGTCTAGATCTCATATCTTAGATAACATTTGACCCAGATATCTATGTCTCATATCTTAGATAACATTTGACCCAGATGTCTAGATATCATATCTTATATAGCATTTGACCCAGAGATCTGGTTTCCCTCTTATAAAACATTTGACCCAGATGTCTAGATCTCATACCTTATATAGCATTTGACCCAGATATCTAGATTACATATCTTATATAACATTTGACCCAGATGTCTAGATCTCATATCTTATATATAACATTTGACCCAGAGATCCGGTTTCCCTCTTATAAAACATTTGACCCACATGTCTAGATCTCATACCTTATATAGCATTTGACCCAGATGTCTAGATCACATATCTTATATAACATTTGACCCAGATGTCTAGATCTCATATCTTATATAACATTTGACCCAGATGTCTAGGTCTCACATCTTAGATAACATTTGACCCAGATGTCAAGATCTCATATCTTAGATAACATTTGACCCAGATGTCTAGGTCTCACATCTTATATAACATTTGACCAAGATGTCTAGATCTCATATCTTATATAACATTTGACCCAGATGTCTAGGTCTCATATCTTATAAAACATTTGACCCAGACCACTGGTTCCCCTGTCTTATATAACATATGACCCAGACCTGTGGTTCCTCTATTTTCTAATAAAACATTAATATTTGACCCAGAAGTCTGGTTCCCCAATCTTATATAATGTTTGACCCAAATGTCTGGTACCTTTATCTTATGTAACATTTGACCAAGACATCTGATTCCCTATATCATATATTATTTGACCCAGTTGTCTGGTTCCTCACTTTATATAACATTTGACCCAGATGTTTGGTTTCTCTATATTTATACAACATTCATATTTGACCCAGGGCTGCGGTTCCCCTATTTTAAATGATAATATTTAATTCAAATGTTCGATTCTCTGATCTTCTATCAATGTTTGAATCTTATCATCACCTGGGTTCTACTCAGAAAAGGGTAAGTATTTAAAATAAACATTAGTGTTATCAGTTAAACATGATGCAGTAACACAAATCTCCAGGAACACTGTTTAAAAATTTTCCATAACATTGCTTTCAATCTCAACCTTATGCCCCCTACCCTAGTAGAGACTTCAAACCCTTATTGCCTTTTCCGTACATTACTTATTCCATGCATCTTCCCCATAAACTGCATGCCCTCCTTGTCTACATTACTTATTCCATGCATCTTCCCCATAAACTGCATGCCCTCCTTGTCTACATTACTTATTCCATGCATCTTCCCAATTAACTGCATGCCCTCTGCTCCTTCCCTAACCTCCTTTTCTCACACATAAGCATCACAAAGACTCCTTGCAATTGATCCCTATCTCAATTCCATAACCAATACAGATATACATACGTCTCTTTTGAGAAGCTGCCTGCAGAATAGCTGTGACAATATCTGCATTATGTTGCACTTTGGCTTGTCTTCTTTCCCGGCGTTTAAGCTGACGAACAAGTTGTGAATTAATTACACTGACACGGTGCTGCAATTCCTGTACTAATTGTCGAAGTTGTGGCACACCTGAAATTATATATATATATATAAGTACATTGAATTTTTAATTGTTGTAGATTTAGAAATTACTTAAAACGCTCAAAAAATGTGAGGAGGAATGAGATCCTAAGTAACCAAAACTTCTGATGGAGTGAACAAGAGTGCCGTGGACACAACATATGCTGCCACAAAATATATAAAGCTTACAAAATTCAATGAACCGTAAAATTGCCCCTTCATGCACATCGAACCATTGTATTAGTGACATTGATCAAGTTTCATGAAAATCTGATGATTAGTTTAGGAGGAGTTGCGTTCACAAGAAATGTACGTACAGAAGGACGGACGGAGAAGATGACGCCAATAAATGACTGCCTCCAGCGGCGTATAAAAAATGCTAGACTGGGGTTCAAAAGCGGGACCCTCTGAACACTAGAGTGACACACCACTAATAGAGCTAGTGGTGGCAGACAACTGACCCAGCCCAGGTCCACTACATACAAATACAGGAACCGGTTTAAGTAACAATCTTCTAGAGAAAGTATACATAGGTCTAGACTGACTGAAGCTTTACAATCATTGTATTCACCTGTTAATCAAAATGTTTGGATGATAAAATTGCATGTGCATATACATAATAAGCTTCTAGCAAAAGAAATTAGTTAAGGCATGCTGTTAATGTGGAATCTTCCACAATTACCCATTTACTTCTATATTAAATAAAGACTGAACTCCAGGATTCTTAACACTATTCATTTTAACAAGAAATATGAAATAAGTTAAATCAAATTGTTATGTATTTATAATAATCAGTCCTGTTGGTGGGATCTTCAACTGAATAAGGATTCTAGAGAACCTGATGGCCAGATATACTGTTCAATTCAGGGATTGATATGGGATCACCAGTCTGATCACTTTCTGCTAGTACTCCAGACCCCTTATTTTTGTTGATAACGAAGATTAAAGTTTTACTGTGTCAAATCTTTGGATTAGGTGAAGTGCTTGAATCATCTTAATTTACTTGAGACATTAAAAGATCATAAAGAAAGTAGAAATCTGAAATAATCCATCCTAAGTATTGTTCATTTGTAGAAGATATTAAATCTTCAAATTCACACCATAAAAATAAATTTCCTTCATCACGTTTTGTACATTAAGGAAGAGTGAACAGTAACCCTATGAGAAAGTAATTGTAAATTGTAGACATGTTCCGTTATCGTAGATCTTTGAGTTGATGCAGGCCACACTATGACTTGAAAGGTTTTCTATGGATATGCCATTAAACACTATATACACATGGTGAATTTTACTGACACCTGCTACTTGTTTCATTACTTTAAAATCTACATATACTTTACAATTACCTATTACACTCCACCCTTCTGTATTATAACTCAGCTGAAATGATACACAAATTTCTTTTTAACATAAACGACAAAATTTGAATATACATTTTCCTTACTATAAGTTTGAAATTGGTGTATTTTCTGAAGCCTTAATCACTAGACCACTGTAAATATACCTACATTAATGGTGTACTGAGATATTATCACAGAGGAATTGTTTTCCAGCTTCCCCTCAACCCTTCAATATTTGTCATGAAAGAAAAACATAACCAGTAACTTAAGAAGTCATCAGATCCTTGCACTGCATATTGTTTTGTATGTAATGTAAGACAGTGTATCAATTTATTAAGCTGTCAACAACAAGCAATTTGAAACTCCTCAGCTATAGCCAATAAAATACTTAGTGATCAAATACTACTTAGATATCTTTTTAAAAAAAAATCATGTATTGTCAACAAAGGGCTACAACTCTGTAAAAGGTTAACCTTACCACATGATTCTACTGTTCATAAGGTCTATCAATCAAAGTTTGGCATTGGTAGATAAATGAGGATATATCCACATTGTATATATATTATCTATTGTAACATTTGTGGGTACTTTGTGTAGCAATTACATATAGTTATATATGTATTCACCTGTAAAAGGATGACCATTATGCTACTTGATTGTGTGTCTATTGAATTATCCTTTGAAATTTCCCTGGGGAAGACTGAATGTGTTCAAAATTTCTTGCTGCTGTAAAGTCTATTTATATAACTGGTTCCTCCTTTCATAAAACATGTTTAAAGCTGTTCAATATTATAAATAAAGGATAACATAAGAGTAAAAAGTGGGAATCTCATTCCAAAGTAGGCAAATATGATCATGAAATTAAGATTCTTTTACCTCAAAATTTATCCAGGTTCATATCGTATAAACTGTACATACATGTATATTTAGATTTCATTGACAGTGTCTGACATTAATTACATGCATATTTCAATGAACCTTTTGTAACCATTCTCAAGATATATAAATGAAAACTTTGATATAAGACCATGTTTTGCAAGTGCTTATTTACAAATACAGTCTTATTTTCAAAAAAGTAAAATTATAGGAATCTATTTCTTCATTTAAGGTAATAAATGGTTAAATATTCATTTCATAACTGATGAAAAGCATTATATTATTAAAATATATGTTAAAAGTACTTTCAGCAATTATGATATTTTAAAATTTGAATAACCATTATATCAACAACATCAAAAAATTAAAAAATTAAATTGGAGTGACCCAACACTAATTCATATCATTGTTGTTTGGAGAGTGTAAATAATGTCTTTGCACATGCAGTTTTAGATTTCACATAAATTCAAATTCATTTATTTTGCTCTGGCATGCATATAGCATGAAAAAGAAGGTCACTTTACGAAGTCAAAATTGAAACATTGCTGGCAAAGCAAGTTTTAGCTAGTTACATAATTATACATAGCAAAAAATCATAACAAAATGGCTGGTTAAAACAAAGCTTTGAAAGGTCACGTGATGAACTTGGCTGTCTATGATCAAAGCAGCGATGGGTGGTCGACACAATAGTGAGTGTTGACTAGCGTTAGTTTGAAGCTGATAATCTTTATCAATTGCTTTCAGAGAGTGTTATGATTTTGTGAAGAGTCTAATCTTAAGTATTTTGATGCTTGTCTGAAATCAAGCACATGAGAAAAAATAAGAAAACTTAACCATTTAGTCCCTTTAAAAATTTAAATTAAATGTTCATAGTAACTAATGATGCCTACTCTGTGCTTCCAGGGTCGCCTGATGAATTCGTCCAGAATTCGTAGTTTCCAGCTGGATTGATGAACGACGCCAATGAAATACATCTGAAGCACTAGAGCATTCTGTGAATGTGTCGCTCTCAAAGCTGTCATGTCTGCCATCGTGCCAGCGGTCATAAATCTCAAAAAGCAGATCATCAACCAATGATGATTGATGTTCCAGACGCCAAGTGCTGTGTTGGAATTTAAGAATTCCTTTCCCTCCTGAGTGGTCTCCCCTTGGACCTGGGGAGGGGAGGGATAACACAGAAGAATGTGTTGCCATTGTGACTGCATCAGCAGAAATTGATAGCTCTTAAGTGGGGTGACATCTCTCAGTAGTGCACAGTATATATTGAATCACATCTGTAATTCGGATATTCAACTTGTTACAACAACACAAACACACAACTTGGACAGACACAAATGGTCATACTAAAGATTCAGAGATACTATTTATATGCATTCTGCAAAATTTGCTCGCTCCTCTTTACTCAACGTAAAAAATCGGCATGCGTTTCAATTATATCCCGTGTATCTTTCAAAGCACATGCCTATATATTATTTTAAACAGCTACATACAAAAATTAAAAACGATTCCTAGCAGTAGATATGCTAAATGTATAGGACTTGTGCACAACATGCCTATCCATCCATTACTAAAATGGTACGATTAAGATGTTATCAATCTGTCACCCGTTTCAGTAGCTGTGCGTTTTTCTGTTAGTTAGCAAAGGTATCCTGAGTTTAACGGTAAAATTCCATACGATAAGACGTCAGAATAAAGTGTAGGTTAGATATCACAATCCCTTCATATGTCGACGTGTCTTCGTATCATGGTGGGATGAAAACATCTGTTGCTCGCTCTGTCGACTCGTCATTCCTCTCCTATCACAAGTGCAGGCCAAGCATATCAATAAAAACAGAATTGAAGTTTGTACCTTCAACACTAAAGAGTTCTCATGTCATTACGCAATCCAACTTTCGCTTTGGCTAGTAAATGTGCGATACACGACAGTCGATATGTAAAAGCGAACATTAACATGGAAGTTAATTCGCATCTAGTTTTACCAGGGAATATGTTTCATGATATAGAGAGAATGAAATATAAAACATTCTCTTTCAGAAAACGTATTAAAATAAAAAGTAAATTTTATTAAAGCGTTTTTTTTATTGACTTATGCCAGCACTGACTTACTATTGTATGTATATGGATAGTCTACATTTCAATCCGTGGTGCCAAGGAAATAACGATTTATGCGCATTATCTTACAGAAAAGTACTTGCGCAGAGACTTTTTTGTGTCAGACTAGTTAAATAGATGTCATATTTGTGCGACACGATGTATACCTGAGACGTAAAAGACGGAGGTATCGTTAAAGCCCCGACGTAAAGTAGCGGTCCCTTTTTACTTCATCTCTGTATCCCACTCCCTCCCATCGCTTCCTATTTTTCTCTCCTACTCATCTTCCCATCTTTTCTCGTCCGCTGAAACCCGTAATAGTTGATGTTAAAACCGTTAAATAAAATAAATGACAGCCCCGACAACCAACCATAAGTATCAGACATCTGTATCAGTGACGTTCTTATTTTTCTGTAAATCACATTAATAGCTTCAAACTTGCAGTTATTTCCTGATATTTGGAAAAAAGAACAAGAGATATGTGATGGGAGACATCTTGTTTTAGGAAGGAATTTTAACCGTTTTCATATTGTTAAGGAAATAAATTGATTGAACGAAATATCTACTGGTAATAAAACAAGTATATATGACGAAATCTTTTCTCAGATATGTTGTACATTGAACTGAACATTGTACAAATATTCCATTTAACTAATCCATGAATCTAACATATCATTAATCAAATTCTGTAATAGACCTGTTCACTAATACACGTATCTGTCGCTACACTGTATCTTATATCACTAACATTTGTTTTATTTATTGTAAACAATTTTTTTTAATTAACAAACGCAAATATTAACACACAAATAAATGTTGACCATGAAAAATTCTGATAATTATTGCACACATAAACTATCTTGAGAAAAATAGCAGATTTGCTAATTAGACGCTGTTTGAAAAAAAAAGTTTTAAAGATTTAACTAAACGTGCCCAAAACCAGTTGATACTAATAAGCTTTTGATATGGCACCGCCAGTTACAGTTTCGGTGATTACATTCAATCATATCTTCATAAACTGACTTCAATATACAATTATTAGATGTAATTAATTTCAATCAGTATTTGATTATTCGGCACTTCCGGGTGATATGACGAGGCAAAGGACCCAGTTCAGAATGTGGCATAAAAGAAGGTGTACTGTTCAGGAAAACTACAAACTACTACAGGTGGTTACTAGCAAACAATCTCATAATGAAGGAGGGAAGCTGACCAGATGTTGAGAGACATCTGAAATCTATTGGTAAAGGTGAGGTGACATCTCCGGGGAGGTTCCCCCGGGTCCAGGTGGCAGCAGTAATGAAAGGTCTTTTGTCTAGAACCACAGGACAGCTAACGTACCTGTATACTCCGCACTTACATTGTTTCTAAGTGTGAATCACGGTATGTCTCATTTTCTTAGATATCAATTCAATTCATTTTTTTTATTCCGGAAGTTTTTACAACTTATTGGATACATAATTTTTTTTACAAATAACATATATTATAACATACATTCCGGGTGTTTACGTAACCCGCTTTATTAAATACAAGATACTTTTGGTGATAATATGAAGATGAGGGATGAGGTTGCTAAGGAGTTCGCCATCATGGATTTCTGTAGCAACGGAAATCCAAGTTGGTGCGCTTAGCAACCCCATAAACCTACGACCCCTCATCCTCATGTAATCATCATGATGGAGTGTGTGACGTCATCAATCACCGAGTTATCGCCCCAGTCACTAACTGGCTCCCTTGTTCTGCTTGCAGTGTTTCAGGTGTGTCCTCCTATATAATTCGACTGACGGGTTGGTTTTGACGACGTCATTAATGTATTTGGCTATAGGATAGTACGTAATTCGACTGTCGGGTTGGTTATGATGATATCATTGATGCTTTCGACTGTACCGTAGAGTGTATACATCCTTTTTGCTACAACGGAATATGACTTGTATGACGTGTGTTGTTGGTATTTTGCATGCAAGAACATAATTTTAACTGTTTTTCTTTATTACGAAATATTACTATTTTACTGACAAAAAACTTAGAATTATCACATTTCTTTAAATTACCATATTTTCTATTTGAAAAATTTATATCTTCACTTACACAATAACACTTTTATTTATTTCGTTTTCAAAATACTTAACGATGTAAAAAAAAATGCTCTTTTCTGCTGTTTGTTGCTGTTTTTGCTGCTGTTTTCTGTTGTTTTCTATTGTTTATTGCTGTTGGCGTCTGTTTTGCTGTTATTTGCATTCAAAAACTGAGTATTTGCTGTTTTCATTCACAAAATTTTACAATTTTTACTAACAAAATATTGACATTTTTACACTGCCAAAAATATTATTTAAAAAAAAAAACGACGTATAAAAATATTTACAATTTACAATTTTGGTGTTATTTTTTTTAAAGGTTTACCTTAAAAAAATTCTTTTTTTTTGTCTGCATTTTTTATGTCTAATTGAACACTTTCATTTATTTGTTGTTGTTGTTTTTACATAGGAATTCCCCTTTGACTTGTTTACCACTTATCAGATGTTGAAGGAAACTATCTACAAGACAAATGTTAGCATCAAAATCATTCGTTAAGTCAGACATCGACATCCCTCTTTCTCTGTGTACCAAATAAAATTTACAGTGCTGACCACACGCTTCTGATTGTTCAGTTGCTGTAGGGTTATATGTCCACGCTATACACTGTCTTTTTAAATAGTGAACGAAACCATCTTGTAAGGGAGGTAATCCCAACGAATCGTAATACTCTCCACCTCTTTCTTCGGTGTATACGGCAATTCAGTGTTGATCTTGTTTCGTATTCGGATCGGTATTGCAGACAAACGTACATGGCGACGTTAATGCACGAGACAATCTGTTCCTGGCATACACACCTTTAAAAATAGGTGAATTTTTTAAGACGATTTCTTCCTCAAAAGTATTCAAATATTTTAGGCATTAAAAATCAAATAAGACCTGTCAATTCCTGTCGATTTCTACGATAATGTAGAATTCGACATACACGATGACGTTAATGGTTTGGGTCAAGACTTCACCGAAATGAATTTCCAGAGACAGATTTCCTCTATTTGTGAGGTGAATTGCGACTCATTCGGAAAGATCGGGCGTCAGGTCGAATCCCAACAAAGTGTAGTAGTTGTCGTTTTCTTCCCTCGAGATGTTATTACCCTCGTCGTGGCAAATTGTGCCGATACTATTGGATAAACCCATGTAGCTCCGTATGTAATTTTCGCAGTAAAATTTGGTTGTAATGTTTTGCAGGAATCTGCTTTCCATCCACGTTCAAGACGACGTAATCGATTCTGTAATGCTTGAAACTGAATGGATTTTTGGTAACGACGTCGCTATCGGCATTGCTGTCTTCGAAGCCCACGACAAATCTCTTAGGCATTTGTTTTATGAACAGGTTGTCTTTTACGGAGTCTAGGTTCCTCCTTGGAACGGAAGTAGCTTTTATCTCGATTCTGCTTATGAGGTGTTTGACGGGTGTCAATTCTAATGCTTAAGTATGTGTCAATCTAATCGACGAACTCGTTTTCACTTTTCACGTCGTTTTCCCCCATCAGACAAAAACGAATCCTCACTTCTGGTTAACGTTATTCTCACGTCTACGTTGGTGATCAAGTATCTCTCTTGATCGAACAAATCCGAATGCAGTCTGCACATCAGTTTGACTGTTTGACTCGTCGCTGTCAGTAATTTCCTTTTGACGATTTTCGGTTCCGGTCGTGTCCATTTTCGTATTCGTGTCTGAATACCACATACTTCCCGTCAACTGAAATTCTTTGGCCACTGAACCGAAGCTCAAAAAAAAATTCCAAGCGAAGTTTTCGGTACACTCTGTAAGATGATGTCTCCAATGGAATCCTTTGGTTTTTCCCGTCATTTCCGGGTTGTCTTTTGATACACCCATCGAGTGGACGGCATCCATGGGTTTATCACTGTCGTGTCTGTTTTGCCGGTATCTGGACTTGTACTTCTGTAAAGTCTCATTGTATAACGTCATTTTATCGTCTAACGGAAGTTCGTCTCGATTTAAGATGTTGGACATTAACCGTCTATTTCGTGCATGGATTTCACGATCGAGTTCACCGGGGGTTTAGGTC